TATCCAGTGGTGAGAGAGGTGTGTTAAAGTCACCCACGATTATTGTGTTGTGGTCAATTTGACTCTTGAACTTGAGAAGGGTTTGTTTGATGAACATAGCTGCACCTTTGGGGCATATATATTTATGATTGTTATGTCTTGTTGGTGTATGGTTCCCTTGAGCAGTATGTAATGTCCATCTTTATCCCTTTTGATTAGCTTTGGCTTGAAGTCTGTTTTATTTGATATGAGTATAGAAACCCCTGCTTGCTTCCATAGTCCATTTGAGTGGTATGATTTTTCCAACCTTTCACCTTCAGTCTGTGTATGTCTTTTCCTATCAGATGAGTGTAGGCATCATATTGTTAGATCTTTTTTTTTTTTAATCCAATCTGCTAGCCTATGTCTTTTGATTGGTGAGTTTAAGCCATTAACATTTAGGGTTACTATTGAGACATGGTTTGTATTTACAACCATATTTGTTTATTTTTGTTATTTAACTTGACTTGGTTTTCCTCTTTGATTAGTTTTTTCTTTAGTGTACTACCTCCCCCTGTTGGTTTTCATTTCCTCTTCATGAAATATTTTGCCAAGGATGTTTTGCAGTGCCGGTTTTCTAGCTACAAATTCTTTTAATTTTTGTTTATTGTGGAAGGTTTTTATTTCATCTTCAAATCTGAAGCTTAATTTTGCTTGATACAAGATTCTTGGTTTGCACCCATTATCTTTCAGAGTTTGAAATATGTTGTTTCAGATCTTCTGACTTTCAGGGTCTGTGTTGAAAAATCTGCTATTATCCTAATTGGTTTACCCTATATGTGATCTGATTCCTTTCTCTTGTGGCTTTTAAAATCCTCTCCTTATTCTGTATGTTGCGCATTTTCATTATAATGTGTCTTGGTGTGGATCTGTTGTGATTTTGCACATTTGGCGTCCTGTAGGCTTCTTGGATTTGGATTCCCATTGCATTCTTCATATCTGGAAAGTTTTCTGATATTATTTCATTGAATAGATTGCTCATTCCTTTGGTTTGGTCCTCTATGCCTTCCTCTACCCAATAACTCTTAAATTTGGTCTTTTTATGCTATCCCATATTTCCCGAATGTTCTGCTTGTAGTTTCGCTGTGCTGTCTATGTTCTTTTCAAGATGATGTATTTTATCTTTGTTGTCTGATGTCCTATCTTCTAAGTCGTCTACTCTGTTGGTGATGCTGTCATTTGAGTTTCTAATTTGGTTTATTCGTTCATTTCAAGGATTTTTGTTTGGTTATTTTGTATAACCGCTATCTCCCTGTTGAGGTGATCTTTTGCTTCTTGGATTTGTTTATGTAGCTTATTGTCGAAGTGATCTTTCACTGCCTGTATTTGTTCTCTTATGTCTTCTTTGAGATCCCAAAACATTTTAATCATGTATATCCTGAAATCTTTCTCTGTCATTTTTTTCTGCTGTAGCTGTCAATATTTCTAATGATGTGTTGTCTTGATTTGTTTGTGGTACTTTATTCCCTTGTCTTTTCATGTTGCTCGCATTTCTTTCTTTCCAGCTCTGTGGGACTGGTGTGTTATTGTTTTTACCCTACAGATTTGTAGTGCTCTTGTATGGTTCCAAGATACCTTCTTTGTGGGGAAGGACAATGTTATCAGAGCCCAATATCAACAGTACATTACCTATGAACAAATTATTGTTATTAAGACATTTATAGTTAATCTCAATGTCCAGAAATGTTGGATTCAATTATTATTTAAAATATAATTAGTAGTTTCATAAAAAGTGTACAGTTTTGGTGGTGGACAGTGAACTGGAGGTTGGGCATAGGATGATATGCTAAGAGGGAAAGATGTAAGGGTATGGGGTTAACATAACTTAGGAAATTTGAAGGAGAATTTTAATGAAGTGGGTTCATAGCAGGGGAATAGACAGGAGGTAATTTAGGGTAGACAAGTACGTTGGAAGACAGTAGAGTACATAAAAACACACATATGTATTTAGAAATTTACAGGATGTTAAAATAGTAAAATTTGGAGGGTGAAAGAAGAAGAAAGGAGAAGGAAAAAAAAGGAAAGAAAGAAAGAGAAAAAAGAGAAAGAAGAAAGAAAAGAAAAAGGGGTGGCTTATGCAATTCCTCTATATGATATTATTCAGGTGACTCAGTTCTCAAATATCTATATCATGTAAAGTTCTCGGTTTCACATATGTTGGCCTTGTGAGGGCCAGAGGATAGAAGAGTAGAGGAGAAAGGAGAAGGATAAGAAGGAAAAAAAAATACTCTTAGACTTCAATTTCCTTCTTGCTTCTCATCTCTTCCAGTAGGTGGAGTTGTCTGTTTTAAGCTGGAGTCTGTCTTCAGGGTGGTGTATGTAACCAGCGTGAGAAGACTTGAGCCCCAGTATTGTCTCCCTCTCTTGTCTGGAGCTTCCCCTATCCTGGTCTCTCTGTTTTGCTCCAGGTTTTAGACCCCTTTCCTCTTTTGCTTATCAAGTCCTAATTGCTGGATCTCTCACCCTCAGGCTTGCACTGCACTCCCATTCAACTGAGAGTGGTTTTTGTGCTGGGTAGTCACTGAGCCAAGTTATCACAGCTGGTGCGGGGCAGATTATTATGAAGTTGGAAACCAGGTACCTGTTCAAATGGAGATCCACACTGATAGCCACGTCCACCAAAAAAATTGGGAGAAAGGTTTTCCAAGATGGAGTTGGTGTGCTTCCAGCACTGGGGGTCTGGTGAGGTGGGGGGAGCTGGGCTGGCCTTGTGCTGGGGCTAGATTGCGCTCAAGAACTGCCGGCTTTGTTTCTGGCGTGCAGAGTCTTACTGGAACACAGAGACTCTGATTTCTTTGCAGGTGGTCGCAGCTCTGATGGTTTCTGTGAAAATCCGCTGTAGAGGGGTCCTGTTGCACACTCTGAGATGTTGTATTCTGCCTAGGTGATACCTTGTGGAGACACTACCTGACTGCTTTCTTGGTTTCATTCCTCAGAGCAGCCAGAAATGGTATCTCCTATATTCTACCATCTTGGATCCCCTAAAGTGGAGGTTTTAAAAAAGGAGTTATCAGTTTCTACTATATTTGGGACTGGGGTTGATTAAAATCTGTTCTTAATTATTATTATTTTTTGTCTCAAATTACCTGTGGTTTATTTTGTTGAGGGTGATTATTGTTCAGCTGGATGTGTACTCAGGCATTTGAATAAATCTGAAGGTGCCTTCTCAGTGACTTGTTGGTACTTTGTGGTTTGTTCCTGCCCACACAGTTTGTCCATTAAGAGGTTCTTTCAGGTCTTACAACTTTCATAACCAAATGAAAGCTCTTCTAGAAAAGTTATGGTTCTCTCTTCAGTCTGTTTCTTGTCAGTGTAAAGAACCATGAATTTGTTTAACCTATTCTCAAAGACCAGTACATAGGTATATATGAGTTGGTATATAAATAACCTAACTTCCCAAAAAATGGCAATGGCAATCATGAGAACCTGAGTTAAACAATTTATACAGATTGCTTTAATGTATAATTTTTTAGGACTTTTAATAAGTTAAACTCATTTTGCTAAGTAGAGTCTGCATGATTTTTGTGTGTTTAAAACAGAATGAAACTGGGCTGGGGTTGTGGCTCAGCAGTAGAGTGCTCACCTAGCACATGTGAGGCACTGGGTTGCATCCTCAGCACCACATAAAAATAAATAAATAAAATAAAGGTATTGTGTCTAACTACAACTAACGAAAAATATTTAAAAAAACCACAATGAAGCCATATATTTTTACATGTTGGTAATTTTTTATTACTAATCCTAATAATTACTAGTTAGTAGCCCCATGAACAACAAACATTTTCTTTCACAGAGTTATATTTTGATATTAAGTCTTTAAGTGATTAAATGCAGCTATATAAAAGGCCATAGTGTAAACTCTTGTTCTAGAGTATTGTCAAAGACATTCTCCAGTATGTTGATTCTGATTCTTGGAGTACATTTCTCCTGTAGTTTAATGCTTCGTAAAGCAATGTGTTTTTCTTTTCTGTCTGATGAGAATGATATAAGCCATTATGCTTTCTCTTTTGCCTTGCATGTAAGGCAACTCAAATAACTGTAGTGCAAAAACATGGTGATTATTTAGCTCTCATGTTTAGTATACTAGGGATTTTCATTCTTCCCTTTTCTGTTTAGCTTATTTGGTAGTAAGGTCCTGGTTCTTGAGCCATACCTTCTTCATCTTAAATATAAGGATAATATCTTCTGTTTGGATTACTGTGAAAATCAAATGACATGTCTTTTTGTATGCTTAGCCAAGCAGCTAGTACATTTTAGAGTGCTAAGTAAATTCTAGAAGATTTTTTCTCACTCCTCACCAATAATTTTAGCATTTTGTTTATGTTTTTACAAACTTAATTTCTTGATTTTGTTTATATTGATGCAGCCTAGTCTTGTTTGAAGTGAGTGAAATATAAATTCTGAAAAGAAAGATTAAAGAGCAGGTTAAGAGGATTACCATAGTAGAAGCAAGGCAGCCATGATTAGAGATGACAAAGAAGTGATAAACCTCTTGTAAACAATGTTTTCAAAACTTAGGTTCCTAGAAGTTCTAACCTATTTTGATTTTCCTAAACCATGTGTTTTATTTTTTAAAGTGGAGTGATATTTTCTTTTGTATTCAAAATGACTGCCTATTATTGAATCCCTTTTAGTCAGGTAAAAGACTATCTTATTATTAAGTAAGCCACAATGGTACTTTTTCTGGAGTCTGCCACATAGGTAATGACCAGAGGGCAAATTAAAGGACAGAGATAAGGTTGAGGCACTTTGGCACTTTGTGGTTCATTCCAAGCAATGCCCATGCTTGGTAATGACATACTTGGCAAAGACTAAATCCTGAATCTTTGGCAGTGTTTGAATATTGCTTTTATTTTCTATTTTGTAGTTGCATTTTGGCTGTTGAAATTAAATTAATGTTGGTGATTCTCAACATTCAAAATCAGTGTAAATGAAAGTTAAATTGTATGTTTCTGATGTGCTCGCCATTCTTACCTTCACAGAAAAAAGCTTGGCAGGACCACAAGTGGGAATGCAAATGCCTTAAAAGCTGCAAACCTAGATATCCTCCTGACTCTGTGCGACTTCTTGGTCGAGTTGTCTTCAAACTTGTGAGTGTTTACTTGTAAAAGACACTTGAGTTTTAATTTACCAGAAGCTTTTGCAGTTGCATTTATTATTCATATTTTAGGCTGAAATTGAACCCATGTTAAGGTACAGAGTAAATTATTGCAGGTAGTAGCTTAAGATACTCCTATTAGTCAAGGAATTGTGGCAGTGAAGAAGTGCAGAGCCCTCTTTAAAATCCCTATGATCTCCTGGGAATAGAAGTGTGGGATCCTAAATTTGGGGTATAAGCTGTTAGCAATTTAATATTTGTTATGTTGCCTTTGTCATTTTTCCTGCTGTGAGCTAATGTACAGGACATGTATGTCCTTTTTGGTTGCCTTTTCTGGTGAGATATAAGTTAGATGATAATTAATATAAAATTGAAGGGTGCTTTTGTCTTTTTGTGTAGCTAGGATTTATTGAAATAGTTTTTTCAGCCCCTTTTCATACAGTGCCGGTTAGTAGAATTTGTGAAATCCTCTTCTAAAGAAGCCTTCTAGTTTCTTTGGCTAGGCTTTTGCATGAATATCTTTCCCAAATTACTATAGGCTCCAGCTCTGTTCTTTCCTTTGTTTATTGATTTTTTTTTTGCCACTTTAAAATTTATAGAGCTTTGAGAATGTAAAAAGAGGTTTGCATTTGACGATTAAACCGGTAGGTGAAGCTACAAGTTAGATTTTCTTTTAAAGTTGTTCCAGATTAAATAAATCAGCTGTAAAAAAATGATAAAGAACTTATATATAAGAAATAGCCTTTTGGTAGACTTTCATTTAAATATGTAAAGGTATTCAAACACATTCCTTCATGTATTGGAGTGCTTCGGATTATTTTTGGTTTCCCCCCTTTCCTTCACAGATGGAAGAAACTCCCTCAGAATCTGAGAAACTTTACTCATTTTATGATCTGGAATCAAGTAAGTGATTGCCTATCATCATCTTAAAAAAAGAAAAAAAAAGTCTGTCATTTGTTTGCTGAGTTGGTGAAGATGGATTGACTGATTGTGGATTGACTGATTGTGAACCCAGGGCATCACTCATACTGAGCACATGCTCTACCACTGACCTGCACCCCTCCCCAGCCCCCAAACTGCTTTATTTTCAACTTTGTTTTTCTGTCTCCTTATTATGTGAAACAAACCTAACAAAAGTTTTTGTTTTTATAAGTAACTGACTCATTAGTTTATTTAATTTATTTCATGGCAGTTTGGGCCTTACAGAAGTTTATGAAGTACTATAAAGATGTCTAGGGTGTTCAGGGTAGTGTAACCATTTGTCCAGTTGACAAAATTTTCCTTCTGTTTCTCCTTCCTTTTCCCCCTTCATTCCTCTCTTGGTTTCCTCTTCTGTTTTTTCTTTTTCCTTTTCTTTTTCTGATGACAGGAAAGAGAGATATAATGAATATGAGAGTTTCAGGGAGCTTTTGGGATCACTGTTGCTTTAGGTAGTAAAGTCAAAGGTATAGATGACTTAGGCTTTATGACAGAGTGTTGTTCCTACCATGACAGTAGTCCAGCTACTTGGAATGAATGATAGGCTTTCCAGATCTGAGTGTCAAGCACATGTAAGGTTTGTATTGCTTTTTGTACTGGCACAGATCCTGTTCATTGAGTTTGTAAAAGACTTTAATCTCAAACTGGCCAGAGCTCAGTGTGAATTTGCTACACAATTTATTTAATATTTCTGGATGGAGACAAATAAAAGATGATTTAGTACACATTTATGCTTATGGGATACTAAGTGCTAATAAATTATTATTTAAGAAATCATTGGGTCAATTATTGTGTTGAACAAGTAATATAAAGAAAATATACAGGGCTGGGGATGTGGCTCAAGCAGTAGCGCGCTCGCCTGGCATGCGTGCGGCCCGGGTTCGATCCTCAGCACCACATACAAAAAAAAAGATGTTGTGTCCGCCGATAACTGGAAAATTAATATTAAAAAAAAAAGAAAATATACAGACCTGACATGAGCAGCAAAGTATCTTTTCAAATTTTAATAGAGAACTAATTAGTCATTTTTACTTGTATTACTGCTAGGTAATTAAAATATCTTACAGTGAATTTCACTATTAACATTAGTGCTGTTCAGTAGTAATGTCATACACACTGCTTTAAGTGAAATGCTCTCAAATGTTATTAATTAAAGGTGCCTCTTAGATTCAATATGCAATTTATGGTTTATATATAGTTTTTTCTTTCACTATATGGAGATAGAACCAGGTCGACCCACCTCTGAGTTAAATCCCTACCCCTTTTATGCTTTTGTTTTTTGAGACACAGTCTCATTAAATTGCCAAATCTGGCCTGTAATTTGCAGACTTCCTGCCTCAGCCTCTTAAATTGTTGGGATTATAGGTGTATGCCACCATGCTCAGCTAAGTTGACTTTTTAAAGGAAGTCATATTGACTTTAAAGCCATCTGTTTCTTTCTTTTTTAAAAAAAATTTAATTAACATAGCATCTGTACAAATATATGGGGTATTATACAACAATTTAATGCATATATACAACATGTAATGATAAAATCAGGGCAATTAGCTTTTGGGTGTTAAAAGTTTATGTGTTAGGAACCTTTGAACAATTTTTTCCTAATTATTGTGGATTATGTGAAAAATTCTTGTGGGTTGAATTTACCCTATTATACTATAGAAAAATAGTACTAATTCCTTCTCACTATATTTTGGTACTTTTTTTTTTTTTTTTTTTTGGTGGTGGGGGTGCTGGGGATTGAACCCTGGGCCTTGTGCATGTGAGGCAAGCACTCTACCAACTGAGCTACATCCCTAACCCTTGGGTACCCATTTTCTACCCTCTCATTATCCTTCCTCCCCTGCTCTTCCTAGTCTCTTCTTCTCTTTTCTTTAGATTAATTTTTTATGTTTCCACAAATGAGTGAGAACGTGTGACATTTCTTTCTGTGCCTGGCTTATTTCACTTAACATGATCTTAAGTTTCATCTACATTGCTTAAAATGACAGTATTTCATTTTTTTAAAAAAATTTTTTTAGTTGTTGATGAACCTTTATTATTTATTTATTTATATGTGGTGCTGAGAATCAAACCCAGTGCCATACACATGCTAGGCAAGCGCTCTACCACTGAGCCACAACCCCAGCTCCTGATTATTTTTAATGACTGAAAAATATTCCATTGTACCACATCTTTTTCATCCATTGGAGGACACTCAGGTCAGTTGTATGTCTTGGCTATTGTGAATGATGCTGCAGTGAACATGGAGTGCTGCTCTTTGATATAATGGTTTTATTTGGATATATATCCAGTAGTGGGATTGCTAGATCATAAGGTGCTTTCTATTTTTAATTTTTTAGGAGCCTTCATACTGTTTTCCATAAGGCAGTACTAATTTACATGTCCACCAATAGTGTAGGAGTTCCTCTTTCTCCACATCTTTATCAGCATTTGTTATTTTTTTTCTCTTTGATAATAGCCATTGTCACTGTGGATATTTTTCTTTTGTTTTTGTGCTAGTGGAGGATGAACTCAGGGACGCTTTATGACTGAGCTACATCCTTAGTGATTTTTATTTTGTTAAAATAAAATAAAGTTAAGTTGCTGAGGCTGGCCTCAAACTTGGGATCCTCCAGCCTCAGCCTCCCAGTTCTTTGGGATTTTAGGCATCTGCCACTGCATATGTGCATATGGCTTTCAATGTGCTTTGGATTTGTGTTTTCCTGATGAGTAATGATGTTGAACTTTTTTTCATGTATTTTTTTGTCACTTGCATGTCTTCTTTTGAGAAATGCCTATTCAGATTCTATGCCCCTTTTCAATCTAGATCATTTTACTTTTTTTTTTTTTTTTGCTGTTGGTTTTGAGTTCCTTAAGTATGGTGAACGTTAATCCCTTGTGAGTTGAATACTTTGCACATGTTTTCTCCTGATCTATAGGTTGTCTCTCTACTGCATCCATTGTTTCTTTGTGCAGGAGCCTGTTAGGTTGTTGGTGATCCTATTTGCTGATTTTTGCTTTTGTTGTCTATGCTTTTGGGGTCATATCCAAAAAACTTTGCCTAGATCAATATCCTGAAACTTTTCCTTTATGTTTTTTTTTTCTTTTTCCTAGTAGGTCCATAGTTTGGGGTCTTACATTTAAGTCTGATCTATTTTGAGTTGATTTTTGAATATGGTGAGAGGTATGGATGTAGTTTCATTCTTCTGCACATGGTATTTCGAGTTTTCGGGGTACTGTTTATTAAAGAGACTGCTTTTTTCCCAATGTATGTCGTTGTCACCTTTGGTGAAAATCAGTTGATTGTATATTATGTAGATTCATTTCTGTTGCATTGGTTTCTGGGTCTGTGGTTACTTTAGTTTTGTAGTTTTTTGAAGTCAGATATCGTGGTGCTTCCATCTTTTTTCTTTTTGCTCAGAATTTCTTTGGCAATTCAGTTTTTCATGGTTCCATGTGAATTTTGTGATTATTTTTCCTATTTCTGTGAAGAATCTCATTGTTAATTTGATGGGAATTACATTGAATCTTTAGATCACTTTGGGTAGTTGGACATTTTAGCAGTATTCATTCTTTGAATTTATGAACATGGGAAATATTTTCCTATTCTGTGTCCCCTTCAGTTTCTTTTGTCTTATACTTTTCACTGTAGAAGTCTTTCATTTCCTTGGTTGAATTTCATCCTAGCTATTTTATTTATGGTGTAGCTATTGTCCTTTTTCAGCAATTTTGTTATTGGTGTATAAAAAATTTTACTGATTTTTATATATTGTTTTTGTATCTATAACTTTAACCAAATCTGTTTTATCAGTTTTAACATTTTTTTTTTTTTGGTGTGGCATTTCTCTTCAACTCAGACAGTTGTTAAAGTAGCTCTATGTTTATGTATTCAATCTGAAAATGAAATTGAGATTTCTTTGTTTAATATGTTTTCGTGATGAATGTTCCATATAACAAATTTCATTTATTTGAATTTTGTCAGAATTTATTCTCCTTTCAGTCTTCTTGTCTTTCAGATTATAATGTTTATCAGTTTGTGATGACCTAGTTGTAAATTTTTCATGGTAAAATCTGTTTAAATCCATTGACTTAATAAAGATTTATGACGGTTTGTGTATGTATACATGTTGATGTAGAAAATCTGGTGATGCAAAACCTTAGTGATTTTAGTTTTTAATCTTTTTCATTGGTATATGCATTTATTATGTTCTTAATAGGTATTTGATCTTACATTGTAGATAAAATTTGGTAGATTTAATTGATTATATATGTATTATGATTTGTGGTTGTCAAATAAAAAGATGTCAGAATGGAAGGTGAGATGGGAAATATCTGGTTTAGTAGCCAGCATTGAATACCTGAAAATTATCCATTGTTTACTTTGTGATTTTGCTGTTTATTTTTTTTGTTAAAGATATTAGCAAACTTACTGAAGATAAGAAAGAGGGCCTCAGGCAACTTACAATGACATTTCAACATTTCATGAGAGAAGAAATACAGGATGCTTCTCAGCTGCCAGCTTCTTTTGACATTTTTGAAGCCTTTGCAAAAGTAAGTATTAAGTTTCATCTCTTTGCTAATGCCATGAATCAGTCCTTTACTACTACTACTTCTTTTTTTTTTTGACACTATGGCTTTAGGTTATTTATTTATTTATGTTTAGTCCTTTACTTCTTATTATGTTGTTGGTTATTAAAAAAAAAATGTAGAAACTTCATGGGAAATGCAAGATCCTTAATGCCTTATATGAATTCCCAATTATATGAGTCCCCCTACATGTATTGTGCATACTGAATACGGAATTACTTCTTTGACTTACCAGTATTCTTATTTTGGCCTGAGTGTGTTCACTGTCGACTTGTACAGCAGACTGTTTGTTAGTAGTTTGAGTGTGCTTTCTGTCTTCAAAAGAAAATAGCATATCCCACTCTTTCTCACTAAAGGGTTAAAGTTTACCAGTGTATTTATGAGTTTGTGATGTTGTTTCAATATTGAATCTGTCTCTGAAGTGTAAAATGCATTGAAATCCATTTCTGATTAAGTGAATTTTGAGTAATATGAAAGCATGACTATTTCTGATTTTAAAATAATCACCTAAAATTCTGGCAAAGTGTTTTAGGTTACTAAAATCCCAGTTTAGGGATAGAAAACAGGTTTTTTGTAGTATTTTTTCTGTGGATTGTTGGTAGTAGTTACCTGAAGTGTTCTCTTTGAAAATGAGAACACATGGCCCTGGGAGGAAGAATATGGTGATTATTTCTCTTTTATTGTGTGTGTTCTGGAACTAAACCTAGAGGTACTCTACCATTGAGCTACATCCCGAGTCCTTTCTATTTTTATTTTGAGATAGGGTCTCACTAAGTTGCCAAGGCTAGTCTTGAACTTGTGATCCTCCTGCCTCAGCCTCCCAAGTAGCTGGGATTATAGGGGTGTGTTATTACACCTGATGCAGTGAATGATTCTTGATATCTACCCTGGGATAGGATGATGTAGCATATACACTCCCCTCACTGCTGTGAATCTGCCATCCTTGTTTTCTCATATTCTGTTTTTATGTTTGTGTCAATATTGATCACATTTTAATAAAAAGTAAAACTTTACTTTTGAAGCTGATTTTGCTAATTATTTGACAATTGGTAAGCACATATTTAATGGCATATTTGTTCTATAAGCAATTTAATGTATTTTTTGGTAAGAATTTAATGTAATTTTTTGCTAGATAAATATAAATATTTTTGTTCTTTAAAGTATGTTTTTATGATTTTCTGATAATATTTAGCATTATGTTTTGGGTTTTCTATAATTTAAGGTTGATTTCACAGTATAGTAGTTACTTATAATGCATCTGAGAAGTTTCTCATGTTCATTTCAGATGGCTCTGGACCTACTGCAGTTCCACATGTATGATGTACACAAGGCTTTTTGGATATTAAACACTATAAAAAACTTACTGAAAGGCCTAAATGTTCCATCTGGTGTCTGTTTTTGTGTTCGTAGATTTAGTCTATAGATATTCTGCATCATTATTTCTATTGTTGGAACACGTTCAAGGGCTAATTACAAGTTTGAGTGTGATTTAATAATCATGAAAAATATCTTAAAATATTTTCTAAATGTAAACGTACATTTACTAAATGTAAAATGTGTATTGCTGTCTTATTTCTCTTGTTAATTATTAAAACTTTTCTTTCTTTCTTCCTTTCTTTTTTTTTTTTTTTTTTTGTGGTAGTGGTTGAACTTAGGGGTGCTGTAGAACTGAGCTACATTTCCAGCCCTTTTTATTTTTAATTTTGATATAGTCTTGCTAAATTGCCAAGGCTGGCCTGGAACTAAGGATACTCCTGCCTCAGCCACCCACATTGCTGTGATTACAGGCATGTTCCATCATGTCCAGTGTTAAACAATTTTAAACTTTTTTCTCCTAGAATGTAATTTTCTTCATGTTGTATGGGGGGAAGTTCTGTCATTGTGATGAAGCAGGTAGTTTTTTTTTTTGACAAATTTTTAATAATATCCACCTTCCTTTCCACATACTTATATTCATTTTTGCCATGAAAACAGAACATATACATGAGATTTTGGAGAGTAATTGGGCTTAGATGTATTGTTTCTGCCTTAAAGTATAGTTTAGTAATCAGAGGAAAGCAATATTAACCTGTAGTTCTTTGTGAAAGTTTTCTTAATGTTTTGTCAATTATAATTATTTTTCAGTTCATAAATTTGTCTTTAAAAGAGATTACACTCTTTCCCCTCCTATCACCTTTTCTCTTTCCTCTCTTCCGCTCCCCACTTCTTGAGGATAAAATGATCTTAAGTCAAGCTAATTGTATCCTACAAATCTTAATGATAAGCTGTTGAACTCAAAACATTGAAAGTATCTAGAGATGCACATCACTTCGAGCATTCTGGGAGTACATGGAGGGCACCAGAGAGAGAATGTTATACCAGTCTCCTGCCTCTGTTCCCATTTTACTGTCATAGAATTAATTGAAGAAAAGAAATGGTCATGTCAGATTGTACTCCCTGCAGTGGCCTGTATGTACAAACTGTCAGTCCAGGATAGTTCCATGTGGACCTGCCTTCTTCAGCCTAAAGAACTTACTTTTGAATTTACACCTTGAAGAAGGTTGGCTTTGCCTGGCCTCAATAAACAAGATCTTGTTTTCTCTTTTGCTTTTGGTCCCTCTCTTTTATACTCACTAAAGTTCAGGGCAGGTATTGGAAATGTTAAGTTTTCATTTTAGTCCATGTCATTGTCCCTGAAGGCATATGGAATTCTAAGAGCTTTTCTAAATTTGTTTCTAGCCTAATTATTTTTTGACTTTTCGATTATGGATATCTCCTAACATATCCCAACATATACAACAATTAAAAAGACCAGTATGAGGAACTGTTTCCATCCCCTGGTTTCAGTAATATTCAAACTTGTGTTACATCTAATATTTTTACTAGATTTCATACAGATATTCTTTTCCGTTTTTTTTTTTTTAAATTTTTCCACCACTTATTACAGTTAGTCCTTTGTGATACTTAACCAGTGACCCATATCCCCAGCCTTTTTAAAAAATATATATGTTTTTTTAGGTGTAGATGGACACAACACAATACCTTTATTTTTATGTGGTGCTGAGGATCGAACCCGGGTCCCGCCCGTGCTAGGAGAGCGCTCTACCGCTGAGCCACAATCCCAGCCCCCCCACACACCTTTTTTTTTTTTTTTTTTTAATTTCCTCAAGCTGAGTTGCTTGAGGAACTCACTAAGTTGCGGAGGCTGGCTTTGAACTTGTGATTCTCCTGCCTGGGACTTCCACGCTGGGAATATAGACATGCACACTGCACCTGGCAATCTTTTGTTTTCAAACTTCTTGGTCCTCTGAGAAGTGTTCTAATGAATTCAATTAGTAAATCAATGGGCCTTTTTTTTACAGCAGAGGTAGTATAAGCCAAGCACTCTTGGTAAGGATAATAGGAGTAGGTAGCTAATTTTAAATCTGGAAATTATCTATCAAGATAAATAAAAACCTTAGCCTGTCAAGAGTCTTATTTGAGGATATTTATAGCTTTTCCAGACTTGTACTTGACTTGAGAGGAAGTGGGTCAGCAGAGGATGAAAAGTTCTTAATCCTGAGAGCATGTTTCATTCTTACCTCAGCTGATGCCTTTTCTAATGAAAACTTGTGATTCATGCCTAGAAGGTAAGAAGTTTACAAACACTCTTTTTGAGTTTCTGGTGGAAAAACAATGTATCTCTCTGTTGAACAGGGTTCTCAGCTCATTGTGCTTCTGCTGGTTTAGTCTTGGTTTCACATGTAAAACTCTTCTGCCATTACTCCAAAGACCTTACTGTGTGGTTGTTTTATGGATTGTTCTCACATATTCCTCCATTTTGCTCACTTCTTAGCACCAATTCCCCACCCCAACATAAACACACACATGAACCACAGTTGGGTTTTAGATAGTAGGATTTTACTGTGAATTTATTCTGTTTACTTATGAATTCATTGCTGGGCTGGAAAAGTTAAGTAACAAGAGAGGTAGGAAGGAGAAGTCTTTCTAGTGGTGGTCAAGGAGGATTTCACATTGGACGTAGAAATTGACATGAATTCCAGAAGAGAGGATGGTGTTGAGAATCATTTACATACAGTGGTATAGAAATGCTGGTGGGGTGTGAGGTGGTGCTGAGGATTCTTCCCCAGGTTCAGGGAAAGGAAATGTCACCTGTGGAATACAGGTTTCATTTACATTTAATAATTCCAGTAAGAGTTGTGATGAAAGTTTGATGTTTAAAATATTTTGTGTTAGATGGTAATAGGAAATTGGTGTGGGAAACTGATGTGCCTGCAGAATTTCTATAGAGGAGGAGCTTCAGAGTATTGATCTGGTAGATAGAAGAAGGCTGAAGAAATTTACTTCCAGCAGCTTTATTTGCACAATAGGGCTCTCTCGCTCGCTCGCTCTCTCTCTCTCTCTCTCTCTCTCTCTCTCTCGTTTTTTAAAACTTTCATTGTATTCCTTGGCAGTGTGTGGTTGAATGGAAGTAGTAGTGTGAGGAATAGAAGGTGGTAAATGCCACTGACAGCAACAAAGGTGTCCAAAGTGTGGGATGTGCATTGGAGGTGTTTTTTAGAGAGACATGCTTATTTATATACTTGTGAAAAATAAAGGCCAAGTTCATCTCTGCCAGCTCTTTTTGTATTTGTTTAGAGAAAACATATATCTCTATTCCTACAAGTGCCTCCTCCTTCCCACTCTGCGCTTTTGTTTCTTTCACTTCTATTTTCAAACATAATTTCTGGGTAGGTTTTGAAATGGATTTATTTTGGAGTGACAACTGACATGATTTGATCTACTGATTAAGTACTAATTATTTACTACAGGTATAGAAATTGTTTCTTCTACTAATCATAAATATTAACTTTAAGGCTTGAAAATTGCAGTTAGTGATAGGGCAGACTGAAATGGAAGCCAAGTAGTGTAATGGTACAGTGGCTTTCTCCAGATAGGAAAGTGAAATTCTCTCAATCTCAATTGGTTTATCTTTAAATGAAAAT